CACCCCAGCACTTCAAGGAGTCATCCCACAGGATAGCACAGGTGGACTGCGCCTGTCCATCTGCGGCAAGCTTCCAAGCGGCAAGCTTCTGTTCGGTGTAAGCTTCCGCAAACGGCGCCAAGAGGCAGAGTCCCAGCAGCGCCTGCACAATGGAGGCTGCCATGGCCGTCCCGTCTACTCGCTTTGGGTCGTCCCCGGCTGAACACCCCCGTGTCTGCATGTTCCCACTCACAGCTTCATGTTTATGCTTTTACAACCTGGACAAGCCAAGTTGGAAAATGTCTTGAGAGCAGAGTGTCGCAGTCAGCCTTCATCAGTTCACAGAAAGCCTCACACATCGACACATTGTGCATGCGCCGGTGCAGTCTACTCCTACCTGTGCCTGCAAACAACATCTCGTGCTGAGTCAAACAAGCCGGGGTTGCCTTGCATACCCATGGCACTGGGATCGTATCCGGTCAAGCCAACCATGCCCATTGGCATGCCCATCATCCCCATTCCTCGGCATGCATGTCTGATCGTCTTCTTCACAAATCAGGCGCAGCAGGGGCGGGACATAGAAGTGAGGTGTATCCGCCAAAAACAGCATTTACTCGGTAAAGGCCCGAGATTCCCTGCATGCCCATGGCACTCATGCCCATCATATCCAAACCTTGGATGCGCTGGGACATCTTACTTATCAACAATGCACTGAGAAGCTTGTTGGATAAGGTGGCTCAGAGATCAGGCAACATCTGGACGAGGAGGGTAAACTAAGTACACGACATGAAGCTACCGTTATCTCAATGCCAACAGCCGATGCTTCTGTGCTTACACTACAGTCACGACAGAGTTTCAATACTACGTGTGAAGATGGGAACGTGAACACTAAACAAGCATGAACGATCGAAAGAAATCCCCGTGCACATATACCAACGCATTTTCTGTGCATGTTGGTATGCATGTCTTTTCTCCAAGCAAATATAATAAGAACCACAACATGCAGAACAATCACAGCCTTACATGCATAACCCACAGACAAGAAGGCCGGAGCACACTAACAACAACCCCAAAATCCTTGCTGGGCCGGGGCACCCATGCCCATGCCCATTGGCATGCCGGCCATTCCCGGCTGACACGCCATCATTCCTGCGCCTGCTGCTGCCGGTGCCGCAGTGGCGGCGGCTGTCGCTGTCATGCCGGCTTGTGCCTGCTCCATTGTCTGTGGGGGCCGCGATGCCGCTTTGGAAATGGCGCCTGACACACCCGAGGGATGGCTCGCCTGTGGGGCCGCCACTGGGGGAGCCTTGACATCCGGCTGCGTGCTTGGCGTAAACATGGTTCGCAAAGCGGAGGCCGTCTGCTCCGGCGCATTGGGGGTGCCGGCAGCTTGTGCTGGCGGAGGTCCAGGAGGGGCTTTCACTGGCACGGGAGGAGGGATAACTACAGGACCGGTCTGCATAGGCGCTGGGGCCTTAGCTGGCGGTGCCTTGACTGGAGGCATTGCTGCAGCCTTGGCCGCATCTTCTTTGGCCTCAGGCTGTCAAGCAGGCTTTGCTCGCAGTCAGGTCGTCATGGTCAAGAGCTGGTGAACAACTGGACAGGTCTAGTGGATGCTTTGGTTCTGGGTCATGTCTGTTTGCTGCAGACGGTGTGGGGTCCTCCATGTGTTTTACTTCTAGCTCGACTATCCAGACAGTCACATGACTACTCTTGCACGTGTGGACAACTGAGGCAATCCATCGGCAAATGGCACGACTAACAAGTTATGCCAAAACCCCGTGCCATATTCATATACAGGCCATGCGGACCTAGACCTGGACCCCAAAATGCCCAAACTCGACTCATACAAACAAAACGAGCAGGAGAAACACAACGGTTAGTAAGTACAAGTCTGAACAAGTAGCAGAACGAAACAAACAAAACCCGCCTGCCGACCTGCCTGCCTGCCTGCCTGCCTGCCTACCTACCTTCTATGCCATTCCATCACATTCATCCATCCGTCCATCCGTTGATCCAAACATTCATCAATGCATACACGCAAGAACATATGTACGTACATTCATTACATTTAAAATCGCTCTTCTTAACATTAGAAATATACAGCACCACATACTGGTAGCACACATATACATGCGAACATCTGTATGTATGTATGTATGTATGTATGTATGTATGTATGCATGTATGTATGTATGTATGTATGTATATATATATGTATGTATATGTGTGTGTAGATATGTATATATTCGAATTCATTCTATACTACACGCACATTCTCGTCAGAGATCAAACAACGTTTACAACTCGAGCGAACACAAGTGTCAACACCCGAACCCCTAAACCCCTAAACCCAAACCCCTGAACCCCTAAACCCCTAAACCCCTAACCCCTAAACCCCTAAATCCCTAAACCCTTCAAGCTTTGGGAGGTTGGAAAGAGCTTTGCCAGGATTGTGA